TCCTAAGTTCCAAAAACAGTACAATGTTGATTCCTATGAGCCAAATTCAAGCATGTTAGGAGCTGAACTAGCCTATGACCCAAAAATAAAAGTTGTTACACTACTTGAGTTCTACAACTTTGTTTTAGGGTGCACAGCCATGCAAAGTTTCTAAAGTGATGTTCAACTCCAGTCAAACATACAACTTGAAAATAATGATTTAAACTATAGCTATGACTTAGAGACCAAACTAGCCTTAGTCATGAATACCAAAGTTATTCCTAGTGACATTCTAAACATGTTTAAGGTATTCCTAAGGTTCCACACACATTTATACATTGGTTACATGTAAACCCTAGCATATGTAAAGCATTTTAGTGACAACACATGCAATATAAGCAAACATAGAGATTATATTTGAAATACTCATGCTCATGAATGATCAATGATGCTTGTGCTCATGCAATGCCAAGGCTAAATGCAAGCTTAACACCTAGGGTGTTACAGAATGTGGTTAGGGTGATCCTTTGTGTCGAAATTGATCGCGCTTTCTAACCATTTTTGGAAAGCCGGGATGGCTTCGCCTAGGGTAGCCGCATAGACTTCCCTAGCCATGATCTTCTATCGGCGTTTGGACTCATACACCATCGGTCCATCGAAGATCATGAGGCACCCTTTTGGGTCGAGATACGCATCCCCTTTCTCCTCGTTGCTAGCGGGCCCAGATGGTGCGTCCGTGCCAGTTGTCTTATAGTCACCGCTGAAGTAGCGCTTGATGAGGTCGCACTCCTCGAGGGTGTTTTTGACTAGATAGCCATGGTTGCAGCATGGCATCTTGACTATCTTGTTGAAACTGGCGTGGTTGAGCATGCCAGTTTTCTGCTTGTGGACCCTGTCGACCGCCATGACAAACTCACTATCATAGTGCCTCCAGCTGTCCTTCTTGCCCTTTACCCATCGATTGTGATCTTTAGCCTCATCCATGGGTTTGGCTTGAGCCTTACCCTTGTATTTGCAGAAGATTGCATGGACGGCCTCCTCGCTAGAGGCGTGGCTTGTCACGAGGTCGAGCAATTCCCGTGTCGTCCACGGCTTGTAGTGTCCGAGTTCATGAACGAGTGCTTCATTGGTCGTGCCAGAGATGAACGCTTCGATCATGTTCGCATCCACGACATCAGGAAGCTCATTGCACTGCTTGGAAAAGCAGTGGGTGTACTCGCGTAGAGTTTCTCTCGCTTTTTATTTGTAGGCTTTGAGATCCTAGGAATTTCTAGGGCACACGTATGTGCCCTGTAAGTTTCCTACGAAGATGCGCTTGATGTCTTCCCATGAGTCGATGCTGTCCGCGGGGAGATGCTCGAGCCATTCTCGGGTGCTTTTCGCAAGGTAAAGTCGCAAGTATTGGATGATGAAGAGGACATCGTTGGCCCCTCCTGCTCAATAGGGGTTGGTGTCCCCGGAGTACTTGATGATGTTCGGTGGTATGCGGAAACGTGCCGAGAATGGTGTCTACCGGATCCTTTTTGCGAATGCCTACGGGCCATAGGTGTCTGAGCTTAGGCTGCGTCGAGCATCTCGAACCCTAGGGTGTCAGCCATGATTGTCCAGGTCACTGTCATCATAGTGTAGTTGATCTTTGCCTGCCCAATCTGGCCCAAGGCACCTAGCGCCTTGAGTTGGACGGGCATTAAAGTTTCCGATGTAATGGATGCGCGCTGAGGAGGGTTCCCGCCTACGCGCCACGCCGCCATCACCTAGCTAGAGCATGCTTGGCGCATGGTGCCCCTCAGGGGCATCACACACCGAGGGGATGTGTACAAGGCTGACCTCGAGATACCACCACTCCTCGGAGCTTTGAGCCTGCTACACCGCCATAGTTTCCAGCAGGTCTCGTAGTTCCTAATGGATGTGCTTTCCCACGTCGGTCGAGGGTTCAAGGGCCGTCCTTATGATCATGGCGGCTGCTGCAATGTTCTGGCTAGCTCGAGGGAAGACGGGTGTCTCCATCTTGCCCTATTGGATTTGATCATACACACGCCGTGCCCACGCCCACGCGCCCTCAGCATTGAGGTGTTGCGGGCTAGGGCATCTGTCATCGCGACACTCGTTGGCCGGATCTGCTTCATGGGCCCTAGCTTGTTCTAGGTGCCCCTAGTCATACTTGGCCTGCTCTCCAGGGGTGCATGGAATTAGATAGGCATCATCCTCTGCGTCCTCCGCCGACACCGCCCCATCCTCCGAGGGCTGCAACATGTTGCATTCTCTTAGCGGATGGTAGCTCCCCTTGGAATCGAACTCGGTGTCGTTGTTCTTAGGGGTTGCCAACAGGAGGTCATAGATGGATTCCAGATCCTGTTCCATCATCCCCACAAACCTAGAGGATTCTGGCGTGGTCGAACGACCACTGTGCCTGGCTAGCTCTCGCTCGAAGAGTGCGATCATGTCCCTCATTTCGAAGGGTAGTACTGTGCTGGGGTTCTAGAATTCAGCCTCTGGTGGCAGAGGCCCATTTCTAGAGAGTTGGGCTAAAGCGTTCGCCAACACATAGAAAACTCGTCAGCTTAGCTCCAGCTCGGGATTTGGCCAGAGATATGCATCGATTCTGCATGCTAGTGCATCAGAGTCGATGACTGTGGGACCGGCTTGAGCTGGTCCATGATTGGGCATTGAGATGTGCAGCAGAGCCACATTCTCTTCACTGAGCCGTAGCCCAGACGGTCGGCTACGAAGTTCAGGTCTCCAAAGCACAGAGCTTGGCTAGGGAGAAGACCGTCAACGGGAGTTGGACCGTCGATGTTGGCGAACTCAAGGCTACCAAAGCTGATGCAGCCGTCGAGGCCACGCCAAGAGCAAGTCCGATGTAGGTGCAGGGAGCCATCACTTCCTTCCCAACAACGAGAGTGCATGACTGTCCCCTACCTAGCGCGCCAATTGTCAGTGTTTTGTAAATTAGACTAGTAAACTTCTACGATTGTCGCGCTGCTATAGGAAGACGATGGTAGCATCCAAAAGACATGAGGATTTATACTAGTTCTGGCTGGAGCTCTACATCCAGTTTCAGAGATGATCGAGTGCGTGTTCCTCACTTGAATGCTCTAAAATTCTTTCAATGGGGGTGCAATAATAGTGGAAGAGGTAGGAGATCTAGAGCTAGGAGATAGGCTGCCCGAAGAGAAGCTTCAGGAGCCCTTCTATGGTGTAAGAATGAATAAATCAGAGTTGGATCCCCAAGATGGGTGCCCTGGCTGTCCTTATATAGAGTTTGGGGCTAGGGCGTATACAAAGAAGAAGGTTCTCCTGACCGAAGGGTCATGAGCCTCAGGGTGGTCCTAGCTAACTTGGCTTGCAAGCTACGCCATCTTGTGCAGCACGTCTGGGCGTGGTTGTCGTCATAGTCTTGTGGCCACGTCACGGCATGGTGTGAAGTGGTGCGACTATGCTGGCCGTGGTAGCACTGTAGGCACGGTGGTGGTTGACTAGCCGTCCTATGCGACGTGGTCCTCGTCGTGGTCTTCGTCATCTCTTCCTGGTTTCCTAGGGTGTTGTAAAGGAGTTGGTAGCCGCCCCTAGGTCATCAATCACCTTGTTGGTTTGAAGAACTGAGGGCCACGGTCCTGATCGTCGGGGTCGTGGCTCCCGTCGGTCTGGATGGCCTCTAAGTCAAGGTCTTCGTCGTGGATACCATCCCGTGGTGGGTAGAATCATACATGCGTCCTATCGGACCGTATTTGGACGGTGGATCACCATACTGGTTGTCACCGCCATGCGGTGTTGTCTTGTCTACACAGCGTGGTGCAGGGATGAAGTCTGATCGGACCGAGGTGACCGTTGTCCCCTCGGTCCTTGCAGAGTCAGAGTAGCGTGCTTACTTTTGCCTGAGCAAGCACAATTGGCTGGGCTTGACATCTCCCTGTTCCTTCCAGGGGTCATGACGATGAAGAGGTTGTTAGTCTTCTGTTCATTATGCGGCTGAGACAGAAGGAAGGGGTCGTGGCTGACCCTGGCCTTGGCGTCTCGCTTGGTTCGCTTAGCTCAGCTGAGCCTCAGTCGTTCAGGCCTTTGCTAGTTGATATATTATGGGCCGCGTGGCCTGCCAACTAATCGGTGTCTTGACACACCTCGGGGATATAACCCCAACAACATGCAACTGTAATCTCTACGTTAGCAAGACATATAAGCATTTTTTTATTGACGCCATCATACCACGCAATCCACTAATCTGCAATTCCCGCAGCAACGCGCAGGGTATGCTTCTAGTTCAATTAAAAGACATACATACCCTTGGAGTTTTTGTTGCCATACCCATGCATGGTTGTGGGCCACGTTTTAGTGCATGATAGGAGTAAAATGAGGTGGTACAAATGTCTTTTGTCAATACAAACCGAACTTTAAGCCACTTTAGCTTAGATTTATGTTTTAATGCTCTAATGGGTTTTTAGGAGGAGGGGCTAAATTTAGATCTAACTTTAGACCACTTTAGATTTAAACTATCGTGTTATTTCGTTCGTTCACCAATAATGTAAATGTAAATGAAATTAGTTCAAATCGTCTCTCTTGCCATAACATCCGCAGGTTTAATTCATTTCCTTTTGCATTTCTAACCTGACCACCAAACAGCTCGTTTATTTAGCGATAATGTTGACACACGGGCATCCGTCTAGGCATGTTCCGTCCGGATGGCTCATTCCCGGGCCTGCCCAACGATCGGGCCCAACAAGCCTCCTCTGCTCCACCTTCAGTACGACGTAGTTTCTTCAAAAAATAAAAAAACATAGCGACATTTTCTTTCCCCACTACCGCACGCATGTGACCTCTGCGGGCGCATCCACCGCACCACCCGCCCACCGCTGGCCTTCTCCAACGCGACGGCCTTCTCCAGCCGTGGCCTTCTTGTCCGGACACAGCGCACCCACTCCGCCTCGCTACTGCCGCGCGCTCATCCGGCGTCGCTCGGTCCCGCCCGTCACGCTCGCCCATCCCGCGTCGCTCGCTCCCGCGCCGTCGCGCTCGCCGCCTGCCCGATGGAGCCAAGCCTGCTGTTGCTAGCGGTGGTGGTGGTGGTGCTCGCGTAGCGTCGGCTCCGACCCCGATGGCTGGAATCGCCTAGCCCCGGGCTCCCCCATGTTGCAAGTGCATGTTTCAAGTGTTTCAGATATTTCGTAGGTATGTTTGAAGTGTTTCATGCAGATGTTGTAAAAGTAGATTGGGATGTTGTATATATTACAATGATTGTACACGTATGTTGCAAGTGTCTGTTCCCAATGTTTCATATGTTTTTTAGACGTATGTTGCAAGTATGTTTATCTAGATGTTGCATATGTTTTACACATATGTTGCAAATGTTTTATCTCGATGTTGCATATGTTTACAATTGTTTTCAAGTGTTTTTATGTGTTTTTCATGTGTTTCAGGTGCATGTTTTGAATGTCTCTGCTGTTTCGTATGTATGTTGCGATTGTTTCATTTTGATATTTAAGTATATTAGGGGTGTTGTGTATGTTACAATGTGAGCCACTTGCCACAGCTGCCTGCTACACCGTGCATGGAGGGGAGCAACGCAACAGGCGTGGAGGGACGCGTGAAACAGCAAAGCATAAGGGCAGTGGCGTGGGGGTCCTGTCTATGCGTGCAGCAGGCGCTGATGCGGGCGTTACAGCAGGCGCGTGGAGGGTCCGTCCATACGTGTCCATACGTTCGGGCGCCAGTACTTCCATTTATTCAGTGGGTAAAGATTAGAGCGGGGATCAAACATGCCTTGCTCCTTTTATCTCCGTGGCATGTGAACCGTAGAGACAGAACACATACAAGGTCTTTCTACGAGGAAAAAAAAAGGGCCGGGCCTTGTGACAACTGACCACCTTTTTTTTCTCGCCCATTCACCGCCTCGCCCCTCCACCCCTTGCTAATCACTATTCGCTTCCCTTTTCCCCACGCGGCGGCGCGGCGAGGCCACCGACCGGCCGGCGGGTGCTGCCTCTTCTTCTCCCGGCGCCCCCGCCCCGCCCCGCCCGCCTTCCCCACCGTCCCCCTCCACCGACCGCGCTGCCCCGCCCACCGAATCCCAGCGCGCCGCCCAGTCGAGCGAGGATTGTTCTTCGATCGCAGCCGCCAAGCTGGTGCTGGGTCGGTGCTGAGCCGAGCGGCATTCGGACCGGACTCGAGTCGAATTCGTCCTCACATTCTCGTCGTTACTGGTAAGGAAGCCCTAACGTTGCTTGCTCGGATTGAAATTGAATTCCCTGTTCTAGCTAGGGCTTCTGCGGTTCCGCCCTTGAATTTTCGGTAGATTCGAGCAATCCAACCAGAAACTCCCGAAATTCCTTTCCGGGATGGGTTATCCGACCCATCGAGTCCCACTAGCTGCAGGATGAGTTCTTGATTTTCAATACAATGGATTTCTCTGACGCTTGCTGTCAGTCTGTCTGAACGCACGACTGAACAGAACGCCTGCATTTTTCTTATCGCACTTGTTGCCTTATCCCCTAATTCCATTAGTGCTCGGTTTAAAGATGTGGCCTACCACATACACTTCCACACACCTCCCTTAAACCTTTCCTGCAATTTTGTTTGTGCAATATTATGTGGGGAAAACCTGGAACATCGTTATACTGCAGTCTTGTATGTCCAGGATTGTTGTTTAGGCCTTTTTACTGTTTCGTAGGTTGGAGCACTAAAATGTTGTAGGTTAAACCTGAAACATCTTTCGAAAGTAGCTAAGTATGGCCACTATCAGTGTCGTTTTAAGTTTTTATACAGCATTGTTGTTTGCTGCAGCCACTGTCTCTAACTTTGTACAGCAGCGATAGGGTTGACATCTTTTGGGAGTGACCTCTGTTTGCTGTTGTGTCCTATATATCACTGTGTTCGCCTGCAGAATCGCTCACTTTGCATGTCACAACTTTATGTTGCTGATGCCAGCCAATGTGTGTTATTCGTGCAGATGCCAGAAGCCGAGTGGAATGATGAACGCACTAGGCTTGTCTGTGAACTCTTTGAAGAACAAGTTCGGGCTGGGAACAGGCCAAACACGCACCTGAGCAACATTGGTTACCGCCAAGTTGCAGCTAAGTTTCAGCAGAGGACACAGCTTCTCTATACAAAATTGCAGCTTAAGAACAAATGGGACAAGTTTAAGAATGACTACATTACCTGGAGGAAGTTACTTGTAGTGGGAAAGGGTTTACCTTGGGACGCAACAAAGGGGACATTTGTTGCTGACGAAGAATGGTGGAAGAAGATCAATAAGGTTTGTTCTGCGTAAATTAAACCTGTTCCTTATTTTTTACTGTTTATTAGTTGATTTTAGTTGCATGACACCCTTTCCTTTTCATTACTGGTAGGAGCTGCCAGGTGCAAGGAAATTTCGACATGGCGGTCTACGACATGAGGACAAGTTGAAAGTAATGTTCGACTACATCACCAGTAATGGTGTGGATCCTTCACCACCTGCTCCAGAAAGCCCGAAGAATGGGGTGGATCATTCGCCACCGGCCGCAACTGGTTTGCCATCTGCTCCAGACTGCCCCCTCAATGGAGCGGAGCATTCGCCTGTGACTGCACATGGGTTGCGATCTCGTCCAGACAGCCACATGAATGGCACAGATCATTTGCCACTGGCCACACATGATTTGCCACATGTTCAAGAAATCCCCATGAATGGTGTGAACCTTGATGAATCGGACAACAATGCTGAAGATAATGATGACACTCATCAAGAGCCTGTGTTTCAGTATTCTTCATCAAACAGGAAGAAGATACCGATTCGTTTCATTGCTGCAAAGAAGAAGAAAAACAAGTCCGAAACTGCTCTGCTCATGCAAGCTCATTTGTACCGCATAACTGAGCTTGCTCAGAAAGCACAGGACACTTTCGAAAAGTTCAGCTCCCAGGCTGACTTGGCGCCATGGCCTAGCATCCAGGATGTTATGACACTGGTCCATGAGTGCGGAGCACGGTGTGGAAGCAATGAGCATTTCATCGCAACTGAACTGTTTGTCAGTAGAGAACAGAGGGAGATGTTCCTGACCATGGAAACGGCCGAGGAACGGTTCCAGTGGCTTAGAAGAAAGTACATCGTCAAGTATTTGTCAGGTACAGCAGGTACAAGTCTGGGTACTAGATGAAATGATCCTGGGCGTCTGCATTAGGTTTTCTCCCAAGTCTTTTAGGCTTTAATATCCAACATGACACATTTTGTTTGCATCCTGACATAGCATGCTTTGCATCTTGACAAGTATGGTTGTATGAATGTGTAGCTATCCTCTGGTTTCACCTGTTCCTGTGTAGCAGTTATCTTTCCGACGCAAGGGGGGTGAAATAATCTCCTATATATAATTTCTGGTATATCGGTGGATCTAATGCGCTGTGACTCTTCTTTGTAGCCCTTTTGATTATTTAACCCTAATGCGCTGCCGCTAATTCTTCCTGCAATGGGCACATGTGTTTTTTGGGCCTGTGAGAATTCACCGGAGAAATTAGGCCCATATTCACTTAGTTCAAGCAAGTTGGGCCCACGTCTAGTTGCGCAGAGAAAATCGCGCGGAAGGAAAGGGCCAAGGGGAAGCAAAACGTTATCCATCCTGCCTCGACACGGCACACCGCTCGCTGCTTTCTGCGCGCCTACGCCACGGTTGACGGTTGGCTCACGCCACTCCCAAGTCCCAACGCACCAAGCTGGGCTGCTGCGCCAAGTTCCACGTTTGCATCGACCAGCCATAAGGATGGCAGCGGGTCAGGTTCAGGGTGGATATCCGCGGGTTTCAGATCGAGGTCTTGTTTAGATTGTCTCTAAATTTTAAGTTTTTTCACTCTCTCTTCATCACATCACATTAATTTTTAGACGTATGCATAGAGCATTAAATATAGATAAAAAAAATAACTAATTACACAGTTTGATTGTAAATCACGAGACGAGTTTTTGAGCCTAGTTAGTCCATGATTAGACAAAGTTTGTCAAATACAAACAAAACGTGCTATAGCGTTCAGATTGCAAAAATTTATAATCTAAACAAGCCCGAGTGGTTTTGGGAACGGTATTGGGTTTGGGACGGATCCTAATTTTCCACGGTGGATCACCAACAGAGCCCCGAATTTGCCATCTGATAACGTATATAAATGAAACTCTCATCCCTGGACCGACACCGACCCTCTCGGCTCTCGGCCTCTCGCTGATCCCACCTGTTCCGCCGTCCTTGTTCGCGACGCCCTCTGCCCCTCGCCCGTCCCCGTCGTCACCCCACCTGAGCGCAGCGCAAAGGAGCAAGGGCCGCGGCCGCGGCGCCACCCGCCCAGGCACCCATCCCACCAGATCCGCTCGTCCACGGTGCGCCGGTGCCAGCAAAGTAGAAGGGCCAGGCGGCCGGCCGCCGTCGGCATAGTGCGCACGCCCCAAACAGCAGCAGGCGCCAGCCGCAGAGGGCTGAGCCAGGGTGGCGGCGCGTCGCCCCAGTTCCCAGCCGAAGGATCTGGATTTTTTTTAATAAATCTGGAGTTTGGAGCATGTGCTGTACTGCTGTATGCCTGTACATGGCATTGGCTTAGCTACTTGCATGTTTCTGGACATGGCTATCGGCTACCTGCTAGCCTGCTACTTGCATGTTCTGTATCATCTATCATATTCAGTATCATGTATTGTGTTCTGTACATTGCTAGCTGCTACTTGCTAGTACTTCCATGGTCTATATTTTTTTAGTAATTTTTCTGTATTCATCTGCAAGCTACTTTCATAATTTATCATGTTTTGTATCGCTGTCCTTGCTGATTTATTGTAATATAATCTCAGGTTTCCGTTAATTCGTCGGGTTTCAGGGATCTGCGGGTTTCGGTTTCGAGGATGGATTTTCACCCGAATCGGTGTTCGGGGCGGGTTCAGATTTTAAGTTCGGGTTTCGGTTTTGGGTGCCCAGAGACTCCACTCAATCTGAACCCGTCCCGTTGCCATCCTGAACTAGCCATATCATTTCGTTGAAATTTAGCTTATGCTGCTGTTTATGATGAAATGTTATGAGAGGAAAACACTGTTCATTCACTAAAAGTATGGCTGAAGTAGATTTGCCATGTCAATGGACACGTGTCGACACCCTATCTGATATGCCATGACGCCTTTAGTGACAGATATTGTCATCAATAACCGGAGCTTGGGTGGTGCGGCTTGCCGGCAAAGACCGAGCGCTATGTTTGAATCCTCGATCACCGTCGCACTTGGGGACGACCTCACCGCTCGTTTCTTGACGGACTCATGGCTCCTAGAGGGTCCAATCAAGAAGTTCGCCCCGCACCTCTTCGCCGCTGTGTCTAGGTGGCGTCGCGGCAAATCCGTGCTTGATGCCATCACCAATCGCAGTTGGGTGCGCGACATCCAGGGCGTGCTCAGCATTGAGGTGTTATGCGACTACGTCATCGTCTGGGAAAAAGTTGACGGCCTAAACCTACACCAAGACACATCCGACAGGTTCATTTGGTGCTGGACCCCGGACAACATGTACACAGCGTCGTCATCCTACCGAGCATTCTTCTACGGCATGACGACGTTGACGGGAGCAAAGGAGCTATGGCAAGCGCGGGCGCCGCTGAAGTGCAAGTTCTTCTTTTGGCTGTTGCTGCATGATCGGCTCTGGATGGCGGTGAGGAGAAAACGCCATGACTTGCAAGATAGCGATGAATGTACGCTATGCAGCCAAAGAGCCAGAATCACCTGATGGCCGGTTGTGCCTTCGCTAGAGAAGTATATGGTTCAGAGTCCTCGTGCTGCTGGGCCTCGGTAACTTGGCACCCACCCCAGACACGTCGATCACCGATTGATGGCTTCTCAATAGGGCGCAGTTGGGAGCGCAGCCAAGAAAAGGATTCGACAGCCTCTTAATCCTAGGAGCATGGTGCCTATGAAAGGAACGAAACCGGAGAGTTTTCGATGGAGTAGCTCGATCGGTTACCCAGTGCGTTCACGTCCAAGATCATGGAGGAGGGCAATCTCTGGGTTGAGGCGGGGTATAGCCACCTTGCCAAGCTATGGCCGATGTCGATGATTGTTCGGCGGATTACCTCCGTTGTTCCAACGCTATTGACCCGTAATAGTTTCTTTGCTGCGCCAGTTGGCTTTTTTTCTTTCTTTTGGCTCTTATAGGGCTATCGCTGGGAGGCCATGGCGTGCCGCTCGCATTCTAATCTTACCGAAGCTAATCGCTGTAAAACTCTTTCTCCTTCTTAATGATATACATGCTAAGCATGATAGCGAAAAAAAAACTAGTGATAGAAGAGCCGTTGTCACTAAGATTTATGACAATTTGGTCTACGGTTCGTTGTCCATTATTATTTAAGTAATCTCAGGTAACTTTCTTCTTCTTTCTTGTTGGGCCTACGGCCTTGCAATTTGTATCTTTCTCCGTACTAGGTTTGACCATCCAATTATAATCTGAGTTTGTTTCTAGCCATACAAGAAAATGGGTTTATATTTTCTAAAATCATAAATAATCCATTTTAAATTAGAAAATATGAAACCTGTATACTTTTAAAAAACAATATAATTTATCTATGGGTGTTTAATTTAGGGTTATTTGTATCCTATTTGCTGTGGTTACTACTGTGTTATTCACGTAATCATACCCGTTATTTATTTAAATCAACATTTTTTTAATATGTTAAACCTAGAGCCCAATCAAGAGAATCTGTACCCAAATAGTGTACTACCAAATACAGTAGAATTAAATTAACAAAATTACTCCAAATAGAAAACTAAAGTTAACTGGTATTGATAGTTCGGTAGTTAAATATTCCTAGTATTCAACTTCGATGGCCAGTGAAAAATGGACTTCTCCCTCCCTGTATATTACCCGAGCACCTCCGGCGCAACCGAGAGCGCTGTTTTTTCTTGCCCCACACACGATCTTCCCGGTCATCTCGGCGCTCGCTGTTTTTTCTTTTCTGTTTTTTTTTTCCAAATAAACGATCACAGATGGTTTTCGCTAGTGCCTACACGTGAATTTCCGAAGGAGGCGCGTCGTGGTTTCCACCAGTACATTAGAGCCACTCCAAAGAGATTTTGGTGACAAATATCGTCCAACAACTTTTTCAATTGGTTATTCAAATATAGTCATGTTATATTTTAAATTTATCGTTAGCCAAAGATAGAAAACGATAGTTCTCCAGAGCGCAAACAAGATATATAAAATTATTGGAGTTCACAAGATATACAAAATGATTTTTATGAAAATGACTCTTCAAACAATGATTTAAAGAGTGATTTTAGAAAGACCCGAAAATGCTCTTAAAGGATCTCCAAAAGTTTCCAAAATCCACTCCCAATCATGGTTTTTTAGCAAGACTGAAAAACTGCTCTCCAACAACTCCCTATCTCGACTCTAAATCTTTCACAATTGGGAAAATTAACCCAATCGCGCGGAAATATACGCGCATGTATCGATTGCCCAATCAAAAGGTGGAAGGACGTGGGGAAGAATATGGAGTACGATAGGGTTCGCCTTCTATATTTCAAGAGTGAGGTTTTGGAAATTGTTGGAGAAACCGAAAAAATATGCTGCTGACTTTTTTAGCCACTTGGAAAACTCATTGATTTACTAATTATTTTTTTGGAAACCATTGTGTGTGACGAGGATAGAGAAGAAATCAATTTCGAAAGTTGTTCTAAGCCAAACTTTAAAAACACAAAAATTTGTGGTACCAAATAAATATATTATGAAAATATAGTTTATGATGTATCTAATTATATTAATTTGGTATCATAAATGTTGGCTCTCTTTTCTATAAATTTAGTCAAACTTAAAAGTTTAACTTCAGACAATTCTAGGAATTAATTTATTCAAGGACGGAGCGAGTAAGCAGTAACTATTAGTAACCTTTAGCTAAGGATTACTAACCTTAGCAATTCTGTTTGGATACTAGTTTGCTACTCGCTCCATTTTCTAGGTATATATCTTTCGGTGTGCACCTAGATATAAAATATCTCTAGATACATAATAAAATCTATGTATTTAGAAAAGCTAGAATATAAAAAATAAAATCTATGTATTTAGAAAAGCTAGAATAATGACTTATACTTTAAAACGGAGGGAATATTTTTAAATTGCTGGAAGTTAGCACTTGGTCTCCAAATAAGCCGTAGTAGTAA